TCTTTTTATACATTTTTCGGTCTCGCTCCAATAATGTAGCATGATATAAAACATAACTTAAATTTAATATTAATATCAACTACATTCAATTTCAAATTCAATTCAAATAATAATAATAACCTTACACATCTTACACACGGCCGTCTGATCCAAAACACAGCCTGTCCTATAGTAACCAAACTGCTGATAAACATACCTACATCTATATTTGTAAATAATCACAGAACACAGAAAAAATAATCGTGCTCACCACACACATTCCTCCTTGGAACCTGGGTCCTGAGTAGAAAATTATCGATCCAATCATATTTACATAGGGATGACATGTTTTCATGATCCAGCAAGAAATTTCAATTTTTTTTACATTTTCTTTTGTTTGACAGCCCTGTGCGCATCAACCGTGTACACTTGTGTGATTTTCTTAAGTCGCGGACACATGAGGTCATAGTTAAATAAGTAAAAACTTAAGGAGGGGCGTTATGGGAGCTGAGCACGGTAACACCATAGTAATGTTCCTGGCTTTACCGAACCGTAATATGGCACTTCGCTATATTATCATAATGTAGATTGATCTTAATTGGGAAGGTAATTAGCTAAGTTTAATCGCTAAAATGGTGGACAAAGAGTTTTATTATCGCCTGGTTTGTTTTTTTTTTTGTCTCGAGAGTCTTTTTTTGTCTAAGCGAATCGATTAGAATTAGATTAGAATTAGAATTTTATACAATTTGTATGTACAGTTGTTTAGTTTAATCAATCAAATAAAAGCAGTTAAAGGAAACAAAGTATTGTTCTTGCGAAGACCGTTTTCTTCATGAATAAATATTGATAAATATAAACACCTATTGTGCATTATTGCAGTGTATGACCACGGAACTGATCACTAATATGCATTGCATGCAAGCTAAATCATTGTATATTGAGAAAAACTAACAATTAAAGACTAACAAAGTAGAAAAGGATACGTTTCTGAGAAACATATTAATTTTTATTAGAAAAAACTGTAATGGCACTTCATTGTTCTTCAAGGATAAGTCGCATCGTATTTTTTCTGTATTTACCTACTCTTTGTAATCAATGTAAGTGCCACGACTAAAGATTGCATTTATGAACTAAAGTAGGGTACATTAGATCATAAATGCAATCTTACAGGACTTGTATATTCTAAAACCAGAAAATGTTTGAAACTTCGTCTGAATCACGTTTACACCACTGTAATAACCACAGTTGCCTGTAAGAGTTTGCCTCCGAGCAATAAGGCTGCCACTTGTACTTGTCTAACCTAGTTGGAACGAAGTTCCTTCGAAGACACTTTTTTGCGACACTTCTTGCTTTTGACAATTGAATTTGACAATATGAACTATATACATCACTGCAAACTTAATTAAAGAAATAACTTAATTATCTCAGATCATTCAGTGTTTAATTTATCATTATTTATTTTATTATTTTACTAGCTGACCCGCGCAACTTCGTCTGCGTCTCTCAATAGTAATAAATTTTCTCCGTTTTTGAAACATTCTTCATTGGTGCTCCGCTCCTATTGGTCTTATCGTGATGATATATAGCCTATAGCCTTCCTCGATAAATGGGCTATCTAACACTGAAAGAATTTTTCAAATCGGATCAGTAGTTCCTGAGATTAGCGCGTTCAAACAAACAAACAAACAAACAAATAAACAAACTCTTCAGCTTTATAATATTAGTATAGATGATATAAATTATAATGACTGTATTTCATACGTCTATCAGATATTTTTTTTACTTTATTATTTAACAATTAAGTACAAACAATAAACTATGTCTTGTTTAATAAGGAGTGGGTAACAAATAAATAAAAAACGGCGTGAGGGGTCTATGGTCCGCCGGTCGGAACGAAGTTCCTTTCTCTTTTAGGTAGATGTTTGCTATAGCGTCGGAAAACGTCTTGTTACTCATTTTTCGATCTCACACCATCGGCTCAGAACGTGTAACGCGCCATAAGGAACTTTGTTCCAAAAATAAAAATATTGCAAACCACATAATTTTGAAGTTAACAATATAGAATGACGTCAAACAGTATGGTAATTCATTAAATATGTAATTTGCAGTGTGTGAAATAAACAAAATAAATTTAATTATACATTACAATGACAACCCGTTTCCTTGATCATTTATGTTAAACAAACTTATATGCACATGTATAACATCATACATACATACATACAACAAAAGTGCTCGCTTATTATAAACTAATGTTGATTTATATGGTGCACTCTAATGCTTACTGTAGTGATTAACCATAACGAACTCCCTACAAATATAATATGATTTCGTGTGAGTACATAAGACAATGCAATCTCTTTTCTTTTTTGAGTCATTGATTTAGAAACCTACGATCGCTGTTCCTTGTTATTATTATGTTTATTTTTATATTTTGCTCACTAAGTGGACTGTAACGTTCTTGAGTATTAATAAAGTTCTTTTAACCTAAACCTATGTTTTCTAACTAGTCGACTGTGATGTTATGTCCACCTAGAGCAGCTTAGAAACAAATACATTAATTTTTTGGTGGAGTATCACAAGTATGATTTCACGCAAATGTGAAAAAAATTATTTAAACGTCCTTCTTAATCTTGTCCTTTGGTCTTAAAGTTACTTTATATCGTGAAATGTTAGTCTGTTGTTAGAAAAGTCTCTAAAGTAAACTATGAATCGCTAAAAAAAATTTTGTCCTGTCAAATATTACGTTTTCAGAATAGAAAACATTGTTTGACTGGACTAAACAATTTTTTTGTGATATTTAGTTTAGTTTAGAGAGTATTTGAACAACAGAATTAGTACCAATGTTGGTTTACAACAGTAAGAAGCTTGTGCCTTTCTCTGTAAGTCTTGAAATGGGTGAATGAGTACTATAGAAAATAACCGGATAATTTTGACCTTTGTTTGATACACATATAGTTCACACAGAGATATGTTTCTGTGCGTGCAGTGGTCCGTAGGAGTCATACTTATCGGACCGTGACCGTGAGAATGGGTCGTAGGTTGCCTTGATTCCTTAAGATATATAGTGCAAAGTTTTTTTATAAAACCATCGCCATATAACTAGTGCTGGCTGAGTGTTTAACATTCTAGATATAAAAAATAAAGGTTCAAATCGAACCTCCCTTTATATGTGTTCATTCGATGATAGTAGAAATTCGAACTCGCTGTAATCCTCTTTCCGCAGTGCTGACATTTGATGTGGTTTTTCTCCCGAATGGATTCTTCTATGTTGTTTAAACTCTCGAGTAAACTGAATCCCTTATTGCAGAACTACACACTGAGTTTTTCCAACTAGAAATTAACACTACTATTATTCTCGGCTCAAAATCTCAATGACATGACCACGATCGTGTCATTCGGACAGTGTCGGGTATCAAAAAGGTATCGATCCACATAAATACCCAACCCAATTTAAAATATATGATCGTTAGAGATGAAATGATTGCATACCGCAATAAAAAGAAGTGCAAATATGTTTGAAACAAATCACATAAAATCGATTGATGATTGTCATCAGATTTGAAATATTAGAATAAGGTCTACGATTGAATATTTGTATTGACCTTTTAAATGTTATGGTATTTCTGCTTATTTTACTCGATTTTAAATGGAGGTTTATTATTACGGGTTAATACAATATAGACGGTTCGATCATGCGGCAACAGCCAACACTAACTGCAAACTAACACTAAACAATATGCAACTCTAAACTCTTTAGTTATTGGAATACTCTCCTACAATGCTTCTTCTTTTCTCTTAGTACACCCCTTTCAAATACTCCCATTTAGTCCATATAATCCTAGAACACTTGGTTAAACGCGATAGGTCTTTCTCTATTACATAGGGCGACTAATTACAGCCGGGAGAGCGCGGGCGTTTCTAAAACTGCCACATTGTACTCCTTTGCTAGTTAGACATGTGTGTGTATGTACTGCGTAATATGTAATGTATTTTATACCTCCAAGAAGTATCTTTCAATAGAGTCATTAATAATGAAATAGTCTAAACTGTTTTTTGATTTCTTAATCCTGAACATTAAAACGAACGTCGGCATTTCGTATTGTTTCGAACGAGTACTAAAGTTGGCCAATTACGGTTATAAATAAACTGAAGGTCATAAAGTCTGTCTATTCTATTATATTTATTTACGTAAAGAGATGGCACGACATAGTTTATTTTTCCAGTGGCCAATCTGTCGTTAAAATGATTTTATGATTGAAACAAAATCTGAAGATTTATTACTGGTTTAAATAATGCTACTTTATAATAACCATCTTGTTTTTGCAAGATATTATAATGTTTGGATACTAATATAATAAAAGACTTTACTGTGAGAAGTTTGTCTTAAACGATTCTGTACGACAATTAAACCAAATAGTTTCGTGAGTCGTTTCATATTTCCCTCTTTAAAGTTGTGACCTACATATTTCTACACACGATATTAATTTTTGCATGAATATTTCTAGTCTATACGACTAGGACTCCTGAGTAAAGTAATAGTTTTGCTTAACACAAAACATCTTACTACGGCCCTCTGATCCTAAGTAGGCAGCCTAAGCTATGGTACGATCTATCTGCTCATGAAACAACTTATATATTTTGAAATACATAAAAGAGTTACCTTAACTTACCAGAAGACAGAGAACAAATTATCGTAATGAACATACAATTTCTTTTTCTGGGTGTATACCAATTAAACTACAAATTTCAAGTGTACTTTTATTTCTCAATATCTAATTGTATTCAGTATTTATAATAAGTTACCTTTTTAATGATCAACTTACGTGTATTATTTTTATTAATAAAATACCTGACAGTATTATGTATTGAATAATTGCATTAATGAATTATATAATTTTAAGTTTCATATCGTAAACTGCTATATGAGTTGTTAATTCTGAAATGATATTTGTATTATGTTTAAATCGAAATTTAAAGACTACAAGTTTTCTTAATAACTAATAAAACAAAATGTGCTTTCACTTACCAGTATGTGTTCTCATATGACGCTTTAATAATGACGGTCTATCAAAGGCTTTCCCACAAACTTCACAAGGCAATAATGCCCTCTCAGACTTAGCTGGTCTTCTTTGGATTTTTGGTGTCATGTCAAGCAGTTCGTTTGATGAACCTGCTGATGAGGAAGTCAGGGAATCTCCTGATACAGATTTATGCTCATCTTCTGGTCCAGATGGTGGGGATATGGGTAAAAGAACTCTTGAAAGCAGAGACGTTGATAAATCTAACGGTGAATCTGTAAACAAACAGTAAATGTATCGTAAATCACACCCAAATTAATGAATTCAGCTGTATATTTCTCACTTTGTAAAAGCATAGGTGAGCCTGTTTGATGAACGTTTAAGTATGTTGAAACGTCGTCAACAGTTCATTTTATTGATATCACTCAATCAGACTTCATTATCAGATATTAAAATATATGTATATGCTAACAAGCCACAAATCTCATCTCATAGCTTCCTCTTGACATTTCATATCGTGATTTATAATTTCATACCGCCTCAGCATAAATTTGATATTTAAAAATTGAATATTTTTGCTTTATTGATAGTAGTTTCTCAAAGGCCTCGAAAATCTTGATCCGAACGAATTTTACGGTGATTAGATAGCCAGTAGGCTCTTTTTATAATTCAGATCAAATGTTTTTATATATTTCCAATCAGGCAAAATTTTTTAATGAACCAATTTTATTGACAACCGTAAATTTCGCTATGGAACTTTAGACAGTTTATGTTTATTGCACCCCGTCTTTCAATTTCTTTGATACCAATTAATTGGCGTTCCCAATTCTAACTTTTACTATTGAAGACTGATCTTCAGTTGTTGTTATTGAAGTTTCCGCAGAATTATAATCAATTGCTCGCCAGCAATAAATCTTGGGCACTGTGACGTCGACTGGCATGGACTAATTAGCGGCTTGTTTGTGTTCTAGATCAAGGATAGTTGAATTTCTTTATCCGTCCTTAGAGTAGGTGTATTCCAAGATGGCAGGATAGAAAATACTCGATATGGAGCGGCAACCGGACAGATGGGAGGACGATAATATCTCTCACTAGTCGACTGTCTACGCTTCGTTTTGCCTACTTTATTTGCGCGGTGATGTACGACCGTAAAGGATTTTAATTTATTTATTCAATTATGTGGACCACTACAGAAAATTGTAGATTTTTTCTTGACCGGTCGTAAAAGATAAAATGTTGGTACAACTTCTATGACTATCTTTAGCAGCGATCTTAAGTAATATACCGTAAATGTCGCAATTACCATTTTAGAACTAACAGCGTAAGGGCCCTACAACGCCTATCACCTGTGGAGTTATATGCATTTTATCAATTATCTAAGAATATCAATTCAAAAGGTTTTTAAATGTCTAATATGCTGAAGCACATAATAAAAAGGATCAATTTAATCTAATTCCATTAACTCTTTAAAAGAAACAAAACTTTAATTACATAAGGTGACATAATATTTCTGGTAAATTATTTAAATAGATAATTAACCTCATAGATAAAAGTTTTCGGTTACTTTCAGGCTAATTCGGTTTACTAGTAAACGATGCTAGCCTGCTCTATTGTTTACAATCCTCAATCTATCCATGTGAGCATCCTCTTTCTGTCATCGCTTTCCTTCTTACCTACAATATACTCTTGAATTTTTTGGATTCAATATACTTCTGATGTTCCCATTAAATCGCTATAGTAATATCCCAATTGACGGCAATAAGCTTGTCTCCTATTACGTAAGTGGGGGTAAAATTACAGATGTAGGCGTTTAATTCTTCTCTGCATACCTCTTTGGGTATATGTGCGTGCATGCATGTGAAATATAAAAGATTTTGTGAATGTTATTGATAATATTTTTATGGATACGGTTTTACTTGTGTGTGTGTATTTCTGGCGACCGGATAGACTCATCGGGTATCCCCTGAAATACACACTAAAATAATATGTATATTCCTAATAAGTATAGTACAATTACCTACCCCGTTTTATTTTTCATTTATAAAAAAATACTATGACAAATAATAATATACATATTCCAATAAATATATAGGTATTTGATATATATTGGTTGCCATAGTACAGGATCTGCATAGTTTGGACTTAAACAGCCGTGTGTGAGATGTATACGGTTATTATATTATTATTTTTGGATCAAATATTGTTTTTTAAATAAAACTATTGAAATTAATAGAAAATTTGAGCATAAGTATATCGTTTATTTAAAATATTTAACTAGATGGCTATTCGTAAGCTTGGATAATCTGATCGATATAGGAACAAACGATGCCGCTAGCTTTATCAAATTGTATGTAACTTAACTGGTCGGTTAAGGCCTGTTCATAATGTAAATATTCATGGAAATACCTGCAGAAGTAACCTCGATACTCATAAAGAATATATGTTATGAATAACAATATCAGAATCGACTGCAAATGGTGCAAAATAAGGCTAAGACGCCTATACTTGTGAAACGAATGTCTTTCAAAGAGGTTTACTTACTAAAAGCGTGTTTTATTTTATGGCCTTTGCTCAGATGTGTCAGTAACCGGAATTAAACTGAATTGGTTTTTGATTTCAAAGACTTTTAGACTCTGATTGGATTGGTATCTGAATGATTAATGTATCAACGGCTCTAGATATTTTAAGTAGTTCATCTTCCACAGATATAGAACTTCGTCGGTTTTACGACTTTGCATATCGACTAAATTTGAGATATTTCACGTAAAGTTACACAGAACTTACTTAAAACTTATAATAAAGACAGTTCTGTTTGTTTTGATAGTGTTATATACTTAATTTTATTTCATAAAAAAACAAGTACTTGTCACAAGACTATCTTTGCCTGTGGAGTTCTAAATCGCAAGAACAATCAATTTAAAAATCATTTCTTTCTATAAAACTAATTGTAAATATTTTTGAATGACTATGTATATGAGTCAGCCTAAGTCAATTGTGAAGCTAGTAGCCTGTCCAATACGTATATTATGTGAAAGAACAGATAAGAAATTTCGTTTAACAAATATAACTTTAGTTAGCAGAAATTTAAGCAGAACAGTTTCATGTTAACCCTGACTTACCACTTCTACAATAAATGTCAAAACAAGTATTTTAAGTCTAAACAGATGATTAGCAACTTTCGAGATATCCAGTAAAACTTAACCCAGAGGCGTCTATTATTCCTCTATTCCTCACCTTATTTTAATATGTATAGGCAGACATTCTAACTGTAAAGCGGTTCTTTATTTCAGCACAATGTCCACACCCTTACAAAAAAGAGATCAAGACAGTCGACTACCAAACCGCGACGCGATCCAAGTAGGAATGCACTTTGATGTGCCGACGGTATCGCGCTTTGGAATAATATCGCAACGTTAAATTGCGTTTGTGCGTGTGAGGTGTGTTGTGACAGTTGTGGACTAAACGTTTTTTATGTGTGTGTTTATGTGAGAAAATTTACTGTAAGGTGTGAATTGGAAATCATTTAAAGACCTCTTGAATAATTACATACTGATTTTAACACTTTGGAACATTGAAAACAAATATAATTAACTATATGCCTTGTAATTTTGTAATGTAAGATGTTATTTATGCCACGTTTTCACGTTACGAGAGGGCTCGGATCGATATGGCAACTGGGACCGAAGGCTTTAGCGTGCTCTCCGAGGCATGGAGGGATCTCAATGTGTTAAGAATGGTCACCCATCCATAGCCTGATCTGGCTAGGATTGTTTAACTTTGCAGTGTGCTAACCTACTCGGTTACCACTTAGTTTATCTTAAGGAAGTATTGTAGCAAGTTGTAAATTAAATACCACATTTCCTGGATATTTCTCATTCTCTAAAACAAAGTATTATGTTTAAGTAAATCAAGAGTTGAATGCATGTCAAATTTTACAACTTACATATATTCTAACGAGATGCGACCAAGGCTGTTTTATTTACAATCGTGTGAAACTGACCACTTAACTTAGTACTTTTTTAATTAAGTTAGAACTGAGCATTTCACTTGGCTGTTGTAAAGGCTGTTGATATAAAATGTATATTGATTTATTGAGTCTTGAGGTTTCTTATGCAAGGCCATTGACCTAGCGACACTAGATTTTTATGTACTCAAACTTGCAAATTAGTCACATTTAAATTTCACTGTGTGCACTTGGTGTCCTTTCAACGTATGTATATCGAAAAATAAGTATTTTTGTCACTTTTCTGTAATAGTTATATTAGAAAAGTATGTTTGCAGAAGAAACAACCAAGTCTTGCAAGAAAACACTGTTCTATTTAAATTTACTAATATTTATTATTATAATTTATTATTATCCGGTGAATTTAAAGAATCAAACTAAAAGATTATAACGATTATGGACTAACTTAGTCAATAGAGTATTATATTTTTGTTTTTTTATGGTTTTATATTGAGAAATAAAGCAGCTGTTACGGAGCATTGCTTAATCATTTATAACTTTAAATATCTTAAAAAACGACAAAACACCAAACTAATTTTATGAATAAAAAAACCGGACAAATGCGAGTCGGACTCTCCTACAGAGGGATCCGTACAAATTTGTTGGTGCATATTATAAATAGTTCAAGAATCGCGTCTAGCAGCTTTTCCCGAAATTCAGTTTAAAAAAACTAAAAATACTTATATTATTGTGTTTTATAAGTCAAATTGTACCTCGATGATTGATTACGTACTTTAAAGAAAGACTAATTTTTTTTATGATTTAATAACAAATGTATAGTTTGGGATCAAACTGCCGTGTGATATGATATGAAATGATATGTGTGAAAATATTAGTATTATTATTCTCTTTATTAAATTATATATACATATTAATTACATTTTTAAATATATTACAAAAGAAATAAAAATACATTTAAAAATATAAAAAATAGTAGACCACCGACATCGGGTACAGGTACCAAGACACCAGTGGTTAGGACTGCAAAGATAGGAACCTCCTCACTATACGAGCCGTGTCAAGGAGGACTGCCTTCTGTATCAGACCCTTGATCCAGCCGTCCAACGTGAGCCTCTTAAGGTGTTGGTCGAGGCTCTTGGCTATCAATCCGTGAGCAGATACGACTATCGGAACAATTATCACTGAATCGACATTCCACATATCGACAATCTCGTGAGATAAATCCAAATATTTTATTTGTTTTTCTTTTTCAACTTTCACGAGATTCTCGTCATGAGGAACGGCGATATCAACAATAATTGCGCGGCGCTC